TAGTTCAGTAGGTAAAATGGATAAATAGTTAGCAAAAGGAGTTTTCATTAGAGATGTAGCAGTTGGTATCTCGTGGTAGCATAAGGAGGATGGGAGAGAGGAAGTAAGGGCCAGACTGTGATAGTGTGAGCCGGGGTAAGCTTAGTGCTACCTCTTTTCTTTTGTTTGTTATTTTCTTTGAATAAGAAGATTAAGAGTTTCTGAATATTATGAAAGTGAATTATGGAATGGAAGTATGATTTTTATTAAATGGGAAGAAGAAAGATTGAATGCTGAAATCTGATTGTAATTCAGCAGAGAGAATGAGTCTGTGTTTGTGTGAAATACTGTAATGTGAAGGTAGTTAATGGTGAGAAACTATAGAGTTTGGATTATAGTATGATTATGTCCTGTCATTTAGGATAGTGCGGGATTACATGTTGTTGTTATCAGTGATGGTGGAGTATTATTAGGAAGTAGAAAGCATTATAGTGTTTCCTGGGTATTTTAAGTAGTGCGGAATACAGTTAATTGTGTGATCCTAACGTGTAAGCTCATGCGGTATTCTTTCCCTGTGTTCAAATTCCCCTATACAGGTTTACTCTGATTAGATTAGTTAGAGTAAGTAAAACGACAATCACATCTCCCAATTAAGTATGCATCCCAGATAAGTATGTAAATTTTTTAGCAAAAATCTAGGTTTAACTTTTATTGATTAAACATATCATGTAATATCATTTGGCGGTTGCTTTGCATTCTTTTGCGTTTAATATTGACAATTATATGTCTCAATTTTTGCTGAGAAGACTCAAATGAGTTCCTTAAATCATCAAATTTATCTCTTGCTTCATCTTGGACATCGTTGCATAGCAACTGATCTTCAATGTCAAGTACACTTTTATAAAATTATTCGAAGTCAAGGAAATTGACATCACATTCTGCGGATAGATTGTTAGGATTGTGATCATTACTTTCTTTATCATTATCTTTTGTAACTTCTTCAATAGTCATTGTCTTCAATACTTTGTCAACATCTTCCAAAACCGCTTGTGAATACTCTTCATTATTTTCATTATCGGTGTATAAGAATTCTTTCAATTTGCCATTTTTAATTTGAATGTTCAAAGAAGTAAAATTTTGGATAATTTCAGCTATCAAATCAACCTCAAGTTCATTGGCAGCATCTTCCAACATCAAGATTTTTGCTTTCTTGAATGTATTTTTAATTGATAATGTAGAAATAGAATCCTAGGCTAGTTTCACATATAGTGTAGTATCCAACAATTGTGTTGATTTACCATAAACCACTCCTGCTGCTCCTCGTGTAAGTCCAAGTGCTTATTCTTTCTTAAGAGCCTTCATCTCATCATCAAGTTGGTAAAAATCAAGAATGTCCTTAAGATAAAAATACTTATATCTCTTTTTTAGTGTAGCTATAATACCCCATATCATATGTTTGTTTCTAGCTAGTATAGTTTGGAAGAAAGAAAATGATCTTGACATCATCCCTTTCAAATGCTTCAAAGTGACGTGGGGCATTATCTAGCAAAAGCAAAATACAATGGCTAGTTTATTTTTTCACTTCAGAATAAAATACTTCATTAAATCATTTCAAACACGTCTCAATATCCATCCATGCTTTGCATTGACTAAAATATTTTAGAGACCATTCATGATTTTTGATGCAGGCTAGACATTTAGGCTTTCCAACTAATATACATGAAATTTTATGTGTTCCAATAGCATTGCCACAAACAACTAGTGAGATCCAATCTTTTACTTTTTTCTTATTTGGCAGAAAACTAAGATCTTCAAACATTATGAGGAGAGTGTATCTTGATAGCACTCGATAAAAAAAACCTATTTTATCCATATTATAGATATTTTTTAGATCATATTACTCAATTATAGCATACAGCTCATTCAATAATGCCAACAATTCCAGATCCCCTTTATTTACTTTTTCTCCTTCACCATGCAAAAGAATTTTTTATAATCCTTTTCATAATCGGAAAGGCTGAGCTATTGCCAAGATGCTTTGAAATCATTACTAGAAAATCCAAGCTCTGTTGTAATTTTTTTTGCTTTGACAATTACCAATGATGGTAGAACTCATAAATTGGTATGACGCATGCTATCAATCCAAATATATAGCTTATCTTCCACCTACAAAAATCGACCGATGGATGTTTGATATGTTTGTATTTTGGCTTCCTCACACATCATAGCAAATTTACTTTGAATTATTTCCTGATTCTTCTAGGTCTTGCAGATAGCACCTTCGCTGATGTCATATTCTCTGGCTATTGCTTGTTTACTCTGAGGATTTGGCTTGCTCAATTTAGTAATGATATCTGACCTCTGAAACTTGTTCAAATATTTTCTTTTGTCTTTGGTGGCCATAAGAGATGTTATAGAGAATGATTGAATTAAGTATGCATCTACCAGTTAAGTATTCATAAATCGTCCTGAATCAAGTTGCGTACTTAATCAAGAGATGACTGTACTGGGAATGACAATTAATTTTTGAAAATTCCAATGATTGGATTATAGAATGTTTTATGCAGTCTTTTAAGATAGTGCAGTATTATATATTGTTGTTATAAGTTTGGAGAGGAAAAGATACAATAAATGCATAGAATAGAATTATCAATTGTAATATTTTATTTGTTAGAAGAGGAATTGATAGAATGTGGAAGGCATTGTCACTTTCTTCGATATTTTTAATAAATCAAAAGATAGTTGATTGTGTGACCGCAATATATAAACTCATGCAAATAGTCTTTTTTCATGTTTGAACTCCTTTTTATAGGTTTATTCTAGGAAGGTATTTGAAGAATAAGTAAAACAACAATTATACCTATGAAAACTCAAGGAGGGTTTTGCAAATTGGAAAATAGATTTTGAAAGTAGACTTGATAAGAGATTTTTAAAATTTAATTTTATATCACTTGGATTAATATTGAGATTTTGAGAGACTTTTAAAATTAAATGATGTACTTGGTGGATTCAAAATTTGAAAAATAAAATAAGTTTACAAATTTGAGAGTCTTGTGAATTACATGGTACATTTGTAAGTGAAAATTTGGCAACTTATTACTATACTTTTTGTAAATATGTGTGAAAAAGTTGAGGTCAATTAAGTGGTTAGAATAAAGAATATGAGAATTTTTGTAGATTGAGGTCTTGGAAATGAGGATTTTCAAGAAATCTGTCAATCCATAAGTTGGATTAATATATAATTTTTCTCAATAGTAGCTAGCTTGAGTTCCAATAATTGTCGAAAATTTGAGACCAATTTAACAATGCAATTAAGAGATTGTGACTCTAGAATATTAATATCAAGGTTGGAAAAGAAGGTCAGCTGATATCTAAGCATAGTTTAGAAATTATTACCTATTTAATATGTGCAATCTTCTTCAAACTTTTTGTGCTTGTTGATAACTTAGTTTTTGCAAAATTTACAAATTATGAATCAAAATCAATGGTTCAATTGTAAATTATTGAATTTTCAATCTATTGTAGGATTTATTTAAGATTTATATTTAGATTAAGTTATACTTAAGATTGGTTTAGGATTCCATTAGGATTTTAATTAAGATTTCAATTAGAATTTTAATTGAGGTTTTAATTAGGATTTAATTATAATTTTATTAAAATTTATTAAAGATTCAATTAGAATTTTGATTAGAATTTAATTAGAATTTGATCTAAGATTTTATTAAGATTTATTAGGATTTCAATTCGAATTAAATTAATATTAAATTAGGCTTTATTTAGGATTTATTTAAATTTTTTATTTTAGCATTTTTAGGATTTTTATTATTCTTTAAAATTTTCTATTTATATTATATTTAAAAGATTATTATTATTTCTTTATTTTTTTTTAGATTAATTTATGACTTCTTTGTATTTCTTTTGTAACTTCTTTAAAATTTACTTTGAATTAGTTAAAGTTTGATTAGAATTATTAAAGATTATTTAAAGTTCATTTAAGATTCTATTAGACTTAGTAGGATTATTGTTACATTTCTACTTACCTTCCATAGTTAGGTGCCCAATGCATTCTCAAGCAAGAATACACATAATATAACAATGTGGATGAATAAGAAAATGGATGTGCCAAAGATTGTAGTACCCAACAAAACATGTTTCCACTAGTATATAATAAGTAATCTATATATAAAAGATTTTCATTATAATACTAAACCTTTTTCTATTGATTGTCTAAATGGGATGGAATTTCTTTTGTTGCAACAATCTAAAAATATTTAATATAAATAATTGTAGCATTCTACTTTTTCTTTCTACTATTTTTATTATAAATTTTAAAATTTTTTTATAGACATTTTGATTTTTTTAACACAACTAATACCAAAAGAACACTTTGCTCACTTTCTGGTTCTCACTTTAAAAATTGCAGAGTATAAAAAAGGGGATGTTGATGGATGGCCAGTTCATTAGAAAAAGGATTTGGTCAACTGATTCACAGGAAGAATTTCTCCACCATATTTGTTATTCATTAACATCAACATCTGAAAAGGAGATGTACATTGAGGTCCAAAACACTGAAAAGGGAATTGGACGGCAAGTATTCCTTGGAGACATTTCTTCCAGCCCATTCCCACCATTCACACCTTAACAGAAAAGAAACTCTCAGTCAACACAAATATATCTATATATATATATATATGTATATTGCAACTGCAGATTGAATGAAACTCGGAATATTCCAATATAACGACAATGACGTAACAATAGTGCTTGCTGCACGGTGAACAGAAAGCTCACGACAATCGCCGTGAGTGGTCACGGATTCCCCGTTTCAATAGTAATAGGTGCTCCAACCCGACGGGGAGAGCCGGTACTCGAAATGGGGCCCATTCTCGCGAGCACAGGGTCGGTTTTGCTTGCTCGCCACGTAGGCATGGATCCCATCCACACTGGATGTGTTCACACGCTGCGTCGTCTTCCCCGCGCCACGACGCCCTAGCAGCGTCCCTTCTTTATGCACTCCCAGAATTTTCCCTTTTCGGGAAACTCTGCTTGTAGCTGGTGCGAGGACTTCACACTAGTGGTGATGACTCCACGCGCGCGCATTGCGATGCGAGCTCAGAGCGGGCGGGTGGTTGGATTTTGTGGATGGAGTGAAGCTCTCGCTTGTGGCACTTCAGCTCGTGTACCCGGCCAACTGGTTTCGGCGCAGGAGCTTCGGACAAGGGAGGGAAGGAGGAAGGGAGGTAGGAAATTGATATTCAATTTTTGTATTGATTGTGTCATGCAATCTTCAACGAACTTGACTTCCTCGATTGCTGGTTCGTGACGGGTGTGGTAATGGATTGATTGCTACGGGCGGGGATTTAGTCAGTTACAGTTGGTTGCGATATCTGCCAAGAAATCGAGGCAAATTTGGCAAGGTGTGTTAGTGTCTCTTCGTCGTCATTGCGCCTTGGATTGAAGAGTCATGCCCACGGTGAACAGCCGTTTAGGTAACTGACCGAGCGACGCTGTGGTTGCGCTTCGGTGCAGCGTCGGAGCTCCCTCGTGCTTCTCATGAAAGCTTGTTTTTCCCGCGCCTCGACTCTTCTCGCGCTCATTGATCGTTAGGTTGGTGATACTGTTGCCATTTTCTTATTTATTGTTCCGTCCTCCTTGCATTTCAGCATTTTTTAACGTGCTGTGTGGTGTTTAATTTCGGAGATTTCACGTGGAATGGCATTTTGTAGACATCGTTGACATATAATCCTCTCTTCTCCTGGAAAACTATATCTCGAGAATACGCCTCGATTCTGTTTCATTAAATAAAAAGTCGTTTCTTTGTTTTTGTTTCGTGTTATTCTTTCATTTGTTTGTTTTGTATTGTTTTTTAAATTATTATTATTATTATTATTATTATTCTATTTGTTTCTTGTATTTTGGCGGCGGGAATCGTGACATAACAAATATTCTGCGTCAGAAATTTCTTCAATTTGTTAGCGTTTTTCGTCTGCGGTACTCTTTCGTGCCGCTGGCATAGCCTTTGGAGCCTTCAGGCTCTTACAACTCTGCCAGAGAAGCTGACTATTTTCATATCTCATAATCTATTATGTGAACAAGGTGGCCAATCTTTTCTTCTAGCTCACCTTCTTAGGGCACATGTAAATTCGGAGGAATTGCAACCTAGCCATGTGCAATACTGTCTGATTCTTGTTGTATCCGCACCATTTGACGTTGAAAGCTGTATGGTATAACCTAGCAGGAAATATTTAGATGCGTTTTTCCTGGGTTCTCTCAAGATACTCAATTACCTATTTCAATCAGACATAATTCATCTGATTGTCCACCGCCTCTTTGCCATGAAATTTTACTTGGAGTCTGATAAATAGCTTTTTTAGGTTCTAAAAGTTTCGCAAATATACAATTGCGTATTTGAACCGGTTCAGATTGTTCTGTGACCGCATTGTAGCTGGACGCTCATCGTGTATTAGAGATCCAGATTCTCTTAAGTCGTCCGGATCATTGAGAACAGAGAATAATCGGGTGGATTCAATGGCAAGGTCGTGAGAGGAAGATTGTGAGTTTGGGTGGCAGACTGTTCGAGCAGTTTTGGATTAGATATTTGAGAGCACGTGATGTGTGGAGGATTCTTTCTGTGATGTGGAAAGAGGCAAATTTGATCCTGTGGATTGTGCAATGCAAACAGGAGGTGGAAGGGTTTGTCCTACGACAATCCCAAAGTTGTCTCGGTTGAGATAATGCTTTTCGCTCAATTTTTTCTCTGAAGATTGTTGTCGGCAGCATGTGGTTACCGACTAGTGAAGTTTGTTAACAAATTCGACAACCTTGCACGGGGAGGTGAATTCATTTCATTATCTTCCCCCTAGCTGTAATCATCATGGTGGGAGTAGTGGCACTTAGGTTGGGGGTGAAAACTGGAGGTGTAAACATATCCCAAGCATGGCAAAGTATACCTAGCAGTTTTCACGCACCATTCTTTGCCAGACCTTCCTTCCAGAAGACTCCCGGAGTTTCTGGCATGAAAGTTACTATGATGTTACCAAAATTTTCGCCAGCGAAAATTTTGGAAAACATAATCTTTTCTCTTCGGTTCAAGACCCCGGAGGACAAAAGTGAGAATACGGTTCAAACTTCTGGTGAGAATGATAATGGAATCGCCGCTGAAGCGCCGGGAAAAGCCGAGAATGAGGAGCAAGAAGAACTCATGGAAACAATTAAAGAAGAGAGCCGCAAGGCTGGAATAGAGGAATCGACTGAGCCTTTAAACGGAGGCGAACAAACTGCTGACGTTACTCGCGATACCCTTAATCCTTCTATCTTATGGGAGCGGCGAGAGAAAGACGTACTTGCTGAAAAAGACCTTAATTTCACGAGTCCTGGTTTCAGCTTTTCGGCAGCAGGGTTGCTCTTCCCTTACCATCTGGGAGTGTGTCAGTGCTTGATTGAAAATGGCTACATCACTGTAAGTGAAATAGGTTTCTCTTTTCTCAATCTTGTCAATTCAGTAGTTACCATTTTCCCGCAAAGCTATTATCACTGGTAATGGTATTCTCTCACGCATTTTCGTCATCAACGGTCCCGACATAGCATGTATTGTGGTATAGAACATTGGTATTTACTATGGTGTGTAGGTTGAAAGTTTTATGTATCGTTGCGATCAATTTGGAAAGAGGTAGAGAAATGTGGATAGAGTGATTGTTCAGGCAGGTAAGTGGTGGGATTATACAGGAGAATACACCACTGGCTGGATCATCTGCTGGGGCACTTGTGTGCGCAGTTATTGGAAGCGGCTTAAGCACGTACGATGCTCTTCAGGCCACGAAAGAGCTTGCTCTCGATTGCCGCACTTATGGCACCGCCTTTCGTCTTGGGGTTCTCTCTCTCTCTCTCTCTCTCTCTCTCTCTCTCTCTCTCTCTCACACACACACACACAGGCGTATTCATTTCACTTATTTTATTACCAGATCAATGTGATGAAGATGATGTTAGCATATCATCACTCGCAGATAATGTGAACTTTCTAATCCCGCTAGTGTAATTTTGCAGGCCGTTCTTAGAAATTTTCTTGAGAAGTTCTTACCGGAAGATGTACACTTAAAGGTTAACGGGAAAATCAGAGGTTGTTCACTCCTTTCGATGCAAATTGCTCGCTCCCTATCTCTCCATATGTGTATTTTCAGTTCAGTCGTATTCCTTCACGAAACCGTAAACCTAACGGTGTAAAAACTTGTTATGTAGTTGCGGTTACGCAAGTTTTTCGGCAACCAAGGGGTTTACTGGTAGATTTCTTCGATTCTAGGGAGGACTTGATCAACGCTCTCCTAACATCATGTTTTATACCAGGGTATGTTCCCAAGTTCAGATCCTTATTATTTTAAGTAGAGCTTTTCCAAGGTAATAACGAACCATGATTTGATTTGATTATGCACAATTGTTTATCTAGTTCAGCACTATTCCTTACCTTGAAGTTCTTTCGGCGATTGGTGACAGGTATTTAGCACCTAGGCCTGTGACCATGTTCCGCAATCGAATATGCGTCGATGGAGGCATTACGTTCTTCATGCCACCGACAGCTGCTGATAAAACAGTAAGTATGAGTGCCCGTTGTGGCCTAGACTAAAAAGCTTTAAGCAAAGTTATGTAATTGCTCCAATAGTCTTATTTTGGAATTCAATTATTGCTTTTAGGAATCTCGTATCTTAGAGTCAGCAGAAATTCCAGTTTACCCATACAATTTATTGTTGATTTACTGATTGTAACGACTTCTAATCATTGGAAGGCCTCTCTTTTGTCATCAATTTGTGAATCAAGTAATATAGTCTTTTGCTGAGGAATTATGCAGGTACGGGTATGCGCGTTTCCGCTGTATGCACCTGAAGGCATTAGTCCCGACTTAAATCCTGGTGAAACTCGAGCTGGAATGAGACAGGTGCCAACATCTTCCTGTTTGCCGCTGTTTAAATATGACTCCTGTTCCAATGTTAAAAATCCATTGCAGCAGTATTTTTATCTCTAGGTGCAAATCAAATGTGGATGAAACTAAGCACAGGACTGTTTATCTTATTTTCAGCTCTTCAACTGGGCTTTGGAACCAGCCGAAGATGTCATCCTCGATGAGCTTTTCGATTTAGGCTTCCAGGATGCTTTAGCGTGGGTTAAGAAGCAGGAACCCTCCGAACACAACTCAAACGGTAGAACAAATGGTGCAGCTTCGGCGTCTGGATCGAATTAGCCTTCCGTTTTTGTAGTTCCCTTCAATGTAACTCTTCTTGGTTTTACTCAGCCCCGATGATTTCGATTGATTCACCGCATTTTCTTTTACTCAGATCAGTTTTGCTCAGTTTTGCTGGAAGGCCAATATATTTTTAATTCCGGCATTTCCACCTCATGTATTTTATTGCACATTACATGAACAATGACAGTAGAAACTAGGTTTTGTACAGTTCCCTCGAACAAGCATAACTCAGTGTTTAACGTGTAGATTCATTGTAGATGAATTCTGCCAAAGTGTTGGTTTAAAAAATACCGTCAAGATTTCGTGTGCATGAAGAAATTCAAGTGAATCTGAATTGCTATACAGAATCATGTAGTTGTTGGAAAATTACCTGCTTAGACACGTAAGGTATAACCTGACAGCACAGCACAAAACTGGCTTGCTAGCGTTCTCTGATTGGAGCAATTTAAGGGATTACACCTATATTTGTAGATAAATAGATTAGGGAATGTTGATCTTCTCATTTAGCATAGCCACATCAATCGGTTAGGTCTACTGTGGACGCCTACATTTCCAGAGCTCTTTTTACTCATTACATTGGCTGCTCTGCTTGTGCATTGTTTACCTTGGTAAAGATTGGGTCACTGGAGCTTTTTAGCAACTCTTTTTCTCTACTCAAATGATCAAATCTTTGAAGTCACTTTGGTTCATGTAGTGGAGTCTAGTCCTACTTGTTCAGAAGTCTTTTAGTAAATCAAAACTTTAATCAATGATTTAGTGAGATTTTTTCTAAGATTAAAATAAATAAATAAATAAAAATGAGTCTTTTTGTTTATTTCCTTTGTATTGTTGATTTAGATTATATATTAATAACAAATAAGATATATGGAATTTTTGGCAATGGAATTAGCATGACTTTACTCTCAAAAAGACAAGCTCAATTGCTCACATAACTATGTTGCTTGGACACTCCTCATTCAAATCTTCTCAAACAAGACTATGTTTTGGATGAATTGGAGTTTGAAGGCCCATATCCAATTGAGTCTTAGATTAATGACAACAATACCAATTTTCATAATAAACCACCTCTCACTGAACAACAAAAAAGGTGCCTATATATGTAAACAAAGTTGATTCTAATGGCCACAATCAAAGACAAATTTAGACCTATTGTTAGTCAATTCACCAATAATCTAGTGGCATATTAGAATCATTTTAAGCATTGATATAATAGTCATCTTTTTGAGCAATGATTACTTCTAGAGCAACAACTATAGGCCATCAACATGATTGAAGGAACAAATGTTAAAGACTACTTCAAAAGCATTAAAAATTTGACCAACAAACTTACAAGTATCAATGCTAAAAAGGAGGAGATTGAATTGATATCTATATATATATCATTTTTCATAGACTTCATCTCAATTAAAGACCATTTGTGTCCAACTTTGGCTTTGACCTTGTTAGAGAGCCTATTCTAACATAGACTCAATTTATTAAGTGTATGCAAGCTCAAGAATATTGAAAAAAAGACAAATAAGACAAGGCCTCTAAAAAAGAATTTTGGATTGAATAATAGTTCTTCAATCACTACTAGAAAACGGGCCCTATTACAAAGTTTGAAAGCAATGTTATAGCTCAAATGATCAAAATAAGCAATGCTATCTTGTAAGGGAGAGAAGGAGGATGGAGGAAGGGAAGAGAAAAGAGAGGAGGGAAGAGGGAGGGAGAGCAATTTGGAAGTTCCATCAATTTGTAACAATATTTAGAATTCAAAGATGAGTTCTTATATCACCATGATTCCAAAGATCTTGTTTTTGACGCCAAGAATTTTTTATTTATTTTTAAAAGTAATAAGAAGAATTATTAATCCATTCCAATAGTATTTGCCACAAGAAGTACATGAGAGGAACATTCTTCTTTGCAAGCTGATATATAAACTACCAAAAATAGAAATATTTATCTATCTTAATCTACTACCAATTATACATCTATCCTAATCTATTCTCAAGTATACATCTACCCTAATCTACCACCAAGTATATATCTATCATAATCTACCACCAAATGTATAATTAATAATTTGAAGGTTTATTCTGCCAAAATCATCAAAAATTGACACTTAAATTAAAGTATAATCTAATGGTAAAGTTCACAAATTTATAAAGTTGATACTATTGCTATTGATTTGGCTCTTATAATCTTATCTCATGTAATTTTAAGAATGTCCTTTCAAAATGGAGCAAGGTATCATCTCTCAATACTCTTAAGCAAATAAATACCTTCTAGACTTCAACAACATTATCATGCAAGCTAGCTATGGCCTATCATTGAATTCCTCAAATTAACAAAGTCATATGATCTTCATGTAATGTAAAAGAAATATTAACATTTAAAAACTTATTTGAGGTGTTATAAAAAAATTACTTTAGCTACTCTTGTAAACACATGCTATTGCAATTATAGGAAAATTCACATTTCTTCATTCACTTTCAAATTCACCTACATCTCCTACATCTCCTTCAATCTTCATTGAATTATATTGTGAAGTTTGTTCATCTGCCTTTATGTTGCCATCCAACTCAATTTTGTAATTGTCTTTATTTTTTTATTTTTTTATTTTTTTATTTTTAATCTTTATATTCATTATGCAAATTTTTCTCTCTATCCATAAACTCTAAAACCACGAGATTGATGTTTTCTTCTTTATATAAGTGGTTGCTTGACATTAGATTTGCCAAAGTTGCTAATAATTAGAAACTTCCATCATTGTCGGTAGTAGTAGTAGCTAGAGATCCATGGTAATAAGTATGCATAGTCTTAGGTTCTTTTTTTTATAACTAAGCTCCATCTTCTATTTATTCTATCTTCAACATAAATACACGTGAACCTAGATACAAGTGTGGATTTTACAAGAGCTATGCTCAAATAATTCATTATCATTCTTATAATTAAGGTGAATATGGTCAATATGGCCAAGTTTATAATATCAACAATTATAAGAACTACTATAAAATTAGCAACTTGAGGGCTAATTATAAGTTTAAGAAGTTAAAAAAATAATTTTTTTAATTTCAATCTTAGATCACTTTTATCAAATATGGCTTCAAGTCTTAAATCCACATTATTGAAGAATATAAAGATTATTTGCTTGAATTTGAGGTTAATCTCATTGAGCTTCAATCTAGTTGATATATTGATTTTATTACAACAACTTATATTATAGGAAATTATGATCTTCTCAAATACTTCAAATCTAATACCTCAAGTCTTAGAATTTGAGTTATTAGGGTAAGTAGATATGTTATGTCACTTGCCAAAAAAAGCTTTGCTATTTAGAAAAAAAAATATGAACTTTATTTTATAGATTTTAGGACTCTACCAAAATTCATACCTATTGAGAGATTCATTGATAATAGATATAATATCATGTTTGATTCTAATTATTTTTTTATAAAGATAATTCTTTCTATAGATATTTTTAGATAAAATATGATTTTAAAAATAATTCATATAGATTGAAATCTTTATTAAAAAATTAAGCTATTCCACCATTATGCAAGACTACACAATTTAAGGACCTAAAATCTTACTTCTACAGATTTTGTATATCATGTATAATTCAATTACTTGAATTAAGTAAAATTAATTATAAAAATTTTTACCTCAATAATATATAGCACAAGTTGCTTATACATCTTAACTTTCAATCAACATACCATATAATTGCTCAAAATATGATCACTAAGATTCCTTGATTATATCCAATTGAACATTAATGCACATCTTGAATTCTCAGAAAAAATCTCTATCAAAGAATTTTTAAGCATTCTTAGATTACAACCACATGTCCACTTAATGAGTTTACATCAAAATGACATAGCAAGAAAGAAAAATCAAATACTTTTTAAATCAATCATAATTATGTTTATTACCTATATTATTATTATTATTATTATTATTATTTTAGCTTGAAATTATTTGTGCCACAACATATTCTCTTAATTCCTACTTAATTTGTGCACTACCCAGTATGACACCATTTGAATGCTAATATCAGACTAAATGAGACCTAGCTCATCTTAAGATGCTAAATTGTATAACCTATATTCACATACCGAAGGAATTTTGGATCAAGCTCCAAAATAAGGCTATTTATATAGTATTTGTACACTATTATTTTGACACCAAAGGCTTTTAGTATTTTGATTCTATACATGAATAGAATATCGTTAGTTCAAATAACACCTTTATTGAAAATTCTTCTCAATTTTTTTAATCCAATGTCTTAACATCCAATTTCTTTGATGAATTAGTTACTTTAGAAGGATCTTAAGATTTGGCTTCTCAATAAGATGGAAAAAATGAGATTGAGATTCCAATAAGGAATAAAAATATAACAAAAGGTGTATGGAAAAATAACCATGATAAAGATGCAACTAAAAATAAAGAAAGAATTATCAAAAATATTGAATAAGGTGTTAAAAATATTAAAAAGGTGGCCAAATATATTGAAGAAGTTGCATGATGATTAAAAGCTAGTCCAAGATCTTTATAGGATTTATCTTTAAAGCAATTAGCATGATGATTATCAATAACTATTTGATCAAAATTACTTATAAGATTTCTTAACTATATTCTATATATTTATGATGACACAAATATTTCTATAGTAGAAATGATGGATCCTATAAGTCATAAAAATTATTGGAAGAAGTGCTTAAAGATCTAAGATGGCTTGTTGCTATAAAAGAAGAATTTGAGTCTTTAATTAAAAATAAAAAGTGGAAGTTAATTGATTTACAATCATATAGATGTGTTATTTTTTTAAATGGATCTTCAAAATAAAGCCTTTTTTTCTCGTCCAAATAGTCTAATTTATATACAATTTAAAGGAAGACTTGTAGCAAGGAGGTTAAAACAATGCTAAAAGATTGATAATAACAATATATTTGCTCCAATAGTTAGATTGTCTATAGTTTGAATTATCATTATTCTTTTTGTCTCTCAAGATTAGTCAATTAGCCTATATGGAATTTGTGATTGTATTCTTAAATGATAAAATATAAGAGATCTTGTATATGTAATAACCACTATGTTTTGTAAAGTATAGACATAAATATTTGATCTATAAACTTTACAAATTATTCTACGTCATGTAATAATTTCTTTGATTTTGATATAGTCAACTAGTATTCTCTGATAGAATCGATTTAAAGGATTATATTTATTTCCTTAAATAAATAGATGAATGAATGTTGATCCTTTTATTAAATATAGCCACATTGATTTCTTAGATTTACTGTAGACACCTTCATTTCCAAAACTC